ATCTTCCCGTCGCTTTGGATTCACTTCTCCGCCCGTCCTACCTTTCCAAAAGTGGTTGATTTTCTGTTTCTAGAGTTGCTGTTCTTCTTCTCTTCGATCTCCCGTTGGATTTGTAGGTGTTTGCAATCTTTAGATAAGCTATCTAGCTGATCTCCCGCTACCTGAAGTAGTCTCAGCCTGCTACTTCTCCGCCATCTTGACTCCTCCTCCCCATAGTGAGCCTTTTAATCTATCTTCTTCCTGTCAGGAAAATCTCTTCTACTGTTCATTTAATTATTGCCTTTGTTTTGTCTCCTCCTTTTTCCCTTCTGGAATTTCTATTGTTCGTATAATAGGCTTCCTGGATCTATTCTCTTAGTCTCTTATCTTTTTTCTTGTGATTCTGTATTTGTTATAATTTTGCTTTGTGTTTAAGATTTTTTTTTTTTTTTTGCATCCAATTTTTCCAAAGCGCAAACTCAGGTTCCAAAAATGACCATTATTACCTCTTAAGTGTTAAGTTCTGAAATCATGTTTTGGGGTGGTAATGGCCTTTTTTTTTTTTTTTTTTTGGTGGTGGTGGGGAGAGAGGAAGGTAAATTTGAGTTTTTTAAAGTGCGTTCCTTATTTTTAATGTTCTAATGCAGGTTTCATCTATCTTCAACAACTACTCTATTTTGCCTTTCATGTTTTCTGGTTGTTCTGCCTGATCTTTTCTTGTTTAGCTTCTGGGATTTCTTAAATAGTTTGTTATATTTCTCTGTCAGATGATTGAGGCTCAGACCTGGGCTGAATCTCCCAAACAGTTGAACTTCTAGGGTGGTGGATAATAAAATGGTCTTGTGTTGCAAAGCAGCCAAACTCTTGGTGACTTGCTAAGGCATGTGGTGAACTCCTCTTAGGGCTCAGGGCTCCAGCCTCAGGGTAGATAGAGAAGCTCTCGCCCATTAATTAGCTCTTTTGGAGATTCTCGTAAATACTTTGGTAGAAATCTGAAGAAAGCCATGTCAGGGATATTCAGCCAGGTGTTACATTATTTATTGTTCAGTGGTTGCTCTAGGAATCACAACATCTGTACCTACCCTTTCAAGAAGACTTACAAACATAAAAGTCCTCTGCCTTTTTCTCCTTTATGTTATAGTTGCCATGTATATGCAACAAATTATTTTAGACAAGTAATAAGACATATCTAAGAATGTCTTTATTTCTCCTTATTTCTGAATGATTCTTCCACTAGCTATAGGAATCTGAGTTGACTGTTCTTTCTTCAGCACTTCAAGAATATTCCACTGTCATCTTTCTTCCATGATTTTTGATGAGAAATCTGTGATAATTCGAATAATCATTCCCTAATATATAATATATTGTTTTCTCTATCTGTTTTTAAGATATTTTCTTTATCTTTGTTTTTAGAAGTTTGATTATAATGTTTTTGGGTATGGTTCTCACTGAGTTTATCTTGCTTGAGATTCACCAAGCTTCTTAAATATATAAATTTAAACCTTTTACCATATTTGGGAACTTTTCTGCTTTACTTCTTCAAAATATTTTTTTTTCCTGTTCTCATTCCTTTCTTTTCTCCTTCCTGGACTCTAATGACATGAATCTTGTTATTCTTCCATCTCTGTTCTTTTGTTTTTAAATTTTTTGCTCTGTTTTTCAGATTGCATAACTTCTATTGATTTATCTTTTAAATTCATTGACTCCTTTTCTTGTCATCTCCATTCTGCTTTTGAGAGCATCCAATGAATTTTTTATTTCGGTTATTATATTGTTCAATTTTGAAGTAGTCATTTGGTTCTTATTTACAGAGTGTATTATTTTTTACTTGAGAACTTCTATCTTGTCATTTATTTTAAGAGCATTAACCTTCACCTCATGGAGGAGGATTATAAGGGCTGCTTTAAAAACATTGTCTGGTAAGTCCAACATCTGGGTCATCCTTGGACAAGCAAATGTTGATTTTTTTTTTTTCCCTTGAGAATTGACCACATTTTCCAGGTTCATTTTTTTTTTTTTGGCATGTTGAATATCCTAAACATTTAAATTATTATATTACAAGACTTTGGATCCTGTTAAAATCCTCTGGAGATTGTTGAGGCTGTTTGTTTGTTTATTTGTTTGTTTTAGCAAGGAAAACTCTAGGATGTGTGAGGGGATTAATATCATAGTTCAGTTCCTGAGGCTTTTGCTTTTCTCTGGGTTTGTTCTATGCTTGCACAACTCTGAGTTGAGTTCATATCCTGAGTTAGTCTTTTTGTCTATCTATCTTCTTTCTTGGGTCTGTCCCATAATTCTTCAGCCTTCAGGCTCTTTTTTTTTCCCCCTGGTTTCTTGGGCCAGAAAGACTAAGTTTCTCTTGGAATTTTAGCTTCCTTTACAGCTCTGGGACTAGGGTTCACATTCAGGTCAAACATGTGGGAGGAAAGAGAAAAAAAAAAAAAAGCCAAAAATATCATCACCTTGTAGATTGTTTCTCCAGATTCAACTCCCTTCCACATTCTGCCTGCTTATGTTTACTTTTCAAAATCCTTGGATAGTTGTTTTTTGTATTTTGCCCATAGTTTTCCACTGTAATCAGTGGGAGAGATAGATTTTAATGGTTTTATTCCAGTTTGGCTGAAAGTGGAACCACGTGATACTATATTAAATCAGTGGGATTTTGCTTAATGTTTACCAAGCTAACAAATGATGGAGATAGATTTGAAATTCACCTTTTTATTTTTTCTTCCCACTCTCTGGAAAAAAATATACTGGTAGGTTATGAAGTAACCAGATGAAAAGCAACAAGAATCACAAAAGGGATCATGAATCCATGGAGAATCAGAGTGAGAGAGACTTAGAAATTATTTATTTTCATACCTAAAATAAGTTCTGAACTCCTTACCCTAGTTTTCCAGGCCATACATGAATTGATTCTATTTTTTCAACCTCATCTTGCTATAATTCTCCTTTCTTGTAGGTGACAATCTTCAGACTGCAATAACAGTGGCCAGGAAGTCTGGAATGGTTTCTGAAAACCAAAAAGTCATTCTCATTGAAGCAAATGAAACCACTGGGTCCTCCTCAGCATCTATAACTTGGAAATTAGTAGAGGAGAAGAAACAGATTTCATATCGCAATCAGGTATACCTAAAAAACAGACCTTCTGCAATATTATGGCTCACAGTGTTGGCTGCTGAGCAGCTTTGATTGGCCAAGATGTACAGGTAACCTAGAGTCAACATATTTCTCCAAATGTCTAACACATATGCTATTTGAAGAGCTCCTATCACTTTCTCATACTGTCCTACTGAGCTTTAATGTACAGTGCTTTCCTGAGTGCTGGGAAGAATTCATTCTTTCAAGCATTGGCTCTTGTTGGCTCTATATAAGAAAGAATGTAGTAAGCAGGACTGCGAATCTAATTTCTCATCTTCCTCTTGCTTGCTAGCCATCCCCTCCGGTCCAAAGGAGATTTAGTCCCTGGGAGAGAAACTGCTGTGTGCATTGGAAAATCAGATTATATCTTCAGGGTGGGAAAAAAGTTTTATTCATTTATTCCCAATCTTGTCAGTATCTTATCTCCATTGTGTCCTTGTGGGACAATATTAATTCTATAAGAAAACAAATTGTAAGTTCTCACTTCAGGGAGAGATTTGTTAAGCTGTAATGCTTTGTATAGTACACTTGAAATGTGTGAAATGTGCTCTTCTCCGGGACTCACTATGGTCAAATCAGGATGAGAACAAGACATGAGTAAGTGTTATTCTCCTATTCACTAGAGGCTGTTTGTGCAAAGATTGATCTAGCAAAGAGAAAGTGCTTCTCTGAGGAATCAGGGCTGGAGTGTGACTCTTAAAGACACCAGACTGTCATCGTTTTCTTCTCTTTGATATATTTGTGGTTCTTTACCAATCTCTATCTAATGTCTAAAGTAACTGTGTCTTGCTTTGCAGGATAATTACATTAATATCAGGGAAGATGTCTCTGATAATGACAGAGAAGGAAGTTACCATTTTGCCTTAAGTGGAAAATCTTTTCAGGTTATAAGTCAACATTTTAGCAGCCTACTACCAAAGGTAATCTCCCAGTAAAGATGCTGATGATGTCACTTACAGAACATGTTCCTAAGTAATTTCAAGCCTCTATAGATAAGATATACCTATTGAATAGATAAAAAAAAAAGCAGATATTTTTGTTATCTCATTTCCTACTAGATTTAAAATCAGTGAATTTGATTAGACAATTTCTCATCACCTATAGGAATAAATTATTAAGGAATTCTCAAATCATAAATATTGCTTTTGGGTGGCTGTCTTTATATTGCCATGGTGAGGGGTCTCCTACTATAGTGGAAATCCAGCAATTATACAGGAAGGCAGGCCAAGAATAGAGGAATTCCATTAGGTTTTTGACAGAGAACCTCTATACAAAAGACAGTCAAACTTAACACTTTCCTGATGAAGAACAAACTCATAGTGAGGGCAAGTAAGTTTTATATATAACATGTAGACAAACTAGAAAAAGACTGTATCCAGTATAATACAAAGATAAATGGTTTTTATTCTTTTTTTTTTTAAATTCAATTGCTTATCCTCTTAGATACTATTTAGGAAAAAAAGAATAAAGACTTTGAGGCTGACTGAACATTAAGCTGAGTTACTGCCAAAAAGAGCAGGGAATGTAGAGATCTAACACAGAAGAATTTAGACTCTTTAGGATAAAGCTCAGGTGGATGGAGCTGGTATAGGTTTAATATCTCCAAACCATCAATGTTCCATAGCCCAGATTAGGCTTGGGATATTAGCTGAGTTTCACAATTGGTCAAGTCCAGATGGTATGGTTAAATCAAAGATCACAAATTGTCACTATTTCATCATTAAGCTGTTTTTCTGCTAGTTCTGAACAATTTTCTGAGAAGCAGTTACCTCTTTTCCTTTTCCTGGGATGTTAACCTCTGGATATCTCATAATTTCTGCTACTCTACTGACTCAAGATTCCATTAAGGTCCGGATTTTTCTTTTTCTTTACCACATTCTCAATGACAGCTCAGCTAAATTCCTGAAGATCATCATTTTAATCAATATTTTTATTACGTCTTTACTGATTTTTGATCTCCTGCTCACTTATTTGACGACTAAAGTCTCAATGTCTTAAAATCCAGAAATGGACTTCTTGGAAACAAACAATTTTTGCCATTCATGGATTTTATTACCCAGTGTTCTGAGTATTATCAATTACTTCATGTATGGCTAACTGTCACGCTGCAGTTTCTTTCGTGTTCCTTACAGATACTGATCAATGGGACCATCTTTGCAAGAATGTCTCCTGGGCAGAAATCCAATCTGGTGGAAGAATTTCAGAAACTGGAGTAGGTTCTTTGCCATTTCGGGTGGTATGAAGTGTCTGGAGGCATGGCAGTCAGGGAGAGTGTAAGAGGTACAGGAAGTCACCTACCTTGGCCAAGGCAGTGGTTCTTAACCTAACTGCATACGACAATCAACTCAAGAGTTTTGAAAACATAGCAATACCAAGACACCGTTGTCCAGAGATTCTGATTCAGTTGCTCATGTGAGGCTTAGACATTAGTGTTTTTTTTCAGATCTCCTCAAGTAAGTCAACTGTGGATCCAGAGTTGAGAATCACTGGACTAGGACATATAGGGCATGAAAATGTAGGGTGAGAAATGAACCTGGAAGTGTAGTTTAAGTTCAGCTCCTGCGGTACAATGAGAGTTTAGATTTTATAAGTTATCACAGTTCTGATATAAGGTGATTTATATGGCAAGAGATTCACATAACCTTAAAAATATGAAAACATTTATATGACAGAGAATCTTTTCTGTCCTAAATTAGAAAAATTATTCTCTTCCAACACAAGGGTCTCCATTACAGAATAGACAGTTCAAATAACGTGCCCATCATTTAGGACCTTTTATTTCTTGTTACTAGAACCCATGGAGTCCTGAAAGCTTTCTTTACTTCTGGTGCTGGACCATACAGATGTGACTTCTACTCCTACTCATTCCCACTTAATCCTCCTACTTGATTTAGTCACTAGGCAAGCTTCTTGATTCAGAAAGCCCTGTCTTCTCCACATGGTTGACAACACAGACAGTAAATGAGTTGCCTTCATATGACAGTGTGGAAGAGAAGTATTGCCAATTCGGTAAATGCTGTGAGAACACTCCTAACTTAAAAAGCAGACTATCTATAATTTTTGTCACCAGTGAAAGCCAGCAGTCTGTATGCAACCTCAAAAAACTATCCTGAGGCAGGGATGTGTTTTCTTTCTTCAAAGTCTGGGCCTGGCACTGCATTTTTTAGTTGAGTGACTGCTAAGATGGCAGATCTCCTCTCCTGTTACTATTAACAGCACCAACAAGTAATTTTTTTTGTTTTGTTTTAGAGATTATAAGGCACTCTTACATACAGCACCTCACTGAATACGTATAACACTTTGTAGGAGAGAAAAATGATAGGCAAAATAGCCTAGTGATCAGGTCCAAAGATCTCTGTCTGGTTTCAAATCTGTTGCCCTCTTCACTGTGCCATGGTATCACATCGTCATCTGTGAACGTCCCACTTTATAGCCAACAAAGTCGCTTCCTAAACAGCGATGTTCAGGGTCTCCCTGAAATGCTTGGAATCAGGAATGGTGCACTGGACTGCTGAGTCACACTTTACTTTTAGTCAAACTAGACTCTTAGGAAAACTCCCTTAAAATGAATAATCAGTTCAAATCCTCAGTAATGAAGTTCAACTTATCTTTTTAATTAGAGAAATTAATAGGTAAAATTGCTCTGATATCCCTTACATTTGACATGGTTCCCTTTTAGTTACTTTGTAGGTATGTGCGGTGATGGGGCCAATGACTGTGGGGTAAGTAGCTGCCAGTATACGGGGCCATAGCGACACTAGGACAGACAAAGACTTACACTTGATTGTGCTTGCCTGGAGTTCTCTAGAGATAGTATCCCTGGGATATACACTACCTCCATTGTTCTTGTTGGAGAAACTGATGTAGAAGGTTTGGGAGGGTTTTGACCAAAGCCACACAATGCCTCAGTGGTTAGCATAGACCAAGTGAGGTAGAATATGGCTCTGGACTCCCCACTTCTTTGGCCAAGTGTCCCAGTGCCATATTTTTCTTATATAGTAGGCAGAGCAAAATCTGGTCATCTCCTGGCTAGTGCTTGGGTCCACAAGCCACTTTGTGGCTAGCGCTTGGGTCCACAAGCCATTTTGTGGCTAGCTTGACAGACTTTTCTCATGTAGCCTCAGGAGAGATGTATGTGAGTGTATATGGAGAGTAAGCTGACTCTTTGCTTTCAGGCTTTGAAAATGGCTCACGTGGGCATCTCTTTATCAGAGCAAGAGGCATCTGTGGCCTCCCCTTTCACTTCGAAAACTCCAAACATTGAGTGCGTACCTCACCTTATCAAGTAAGTAGATGCTTTCTACTAGCATTGTTTTAATCTCTCTTGACTTTTAGGTACAGATTCCATTGTTCTGTCAGGGAAAGAGCAGGGAAACTTTGTGTCCCTGGATGGGGAGGGTGCTTTGCAGGACAATGCAATCAGCCATTCTAATCCCAACTGATTTTACCAGGAGTTAAAAATAACCGTGGGAGAGCAGTGGAATTTCTAATAAAAATCACTCAATAGGTTACTTTTAGAAAATTGTAATCTGGACTTTGTTACTGCTTTGTAAGTGTTGCTCATATTCTTATTATTGTTATTTTTACATGGATCTCCTTAGATGCTTTATGATGGGGGATGGACAGAAACTTTTCCCTTCCCACCTGCCCTCTTTTCTGCTTGACTCTATGCTTTTTGGAATATTCTTTCCATCCCCAGTTTTCAAAATATTTATTCATCTTTGCTGCTTCTACTAAACTTTCCCTTGGTATTTTATCTCTGTCTCCCAGAATATGTATTTCTACTTTATTTTATTTGAATCATAGAGATGGTTAGCATTGTGGCTGCTTTGGGCTGTTATAACTAACATGTATTTACAGTTTGTGAAGTGCTCTAATACCTACTATCTTATACTTCAAAATACCCTGGAGATGTAAGAATGGTCACTATTCTCTTTTGCAAATATGGAAATTGAGGTTCAATTGGTACGCCCAAGCTCAAACAGCCACATAGGATTAAAAATTCTATTAAAATTGATTTTATTTAAATATGTTTTATCTACAAACATCGTACTATTCCCTCCACATTAAAATAATAATGATTTGGCTAGTTCTTCCCAATTTTTAAAAAACTTATGCATGTATTCGACAAATATTTAGAGAGTAGGCACTTAGTGCCAGGGACTGGTGGAGACACTGAAGACCCAGAAGAAAGTAAATCACAGGGGCGCCTGGGTGGCTCAGTGGGTCAAAGCCTCTGCCTTCAGCTCGGGTCATGATCCCAGGGTCCTGGGATAGAGCCCTACATCGGGCTCTCTGCTCAGCAGGGAGCCTGCTTCCCGCCCCCCCCCTCCGCCTCTCTGCCTGCTTGTGATCTCTGCCTGTCAAATAAGTAAATAAAATCTTTAAAAAAAAAATGTAAGTCACACATCCCTTGATCTCATAAAGCTTTCTTCTGGTGAAGAAGTCAGGCAATAAACACATATATGGATAAATCAAGGGTAATGGGAAAAGTTCGAAGGGGACTGGGGAGGTAGAACTGGCTGCTATAGGTGGGTGGTATGTGAAAGCCTTTCTAAGGAGGTGAGAGATGAGGAGAAACTATGTTCTGGTGAAGCAAATGATAGCAGCAGAGCCCCCAAACAGGAAAAAGCCTGTTTTAAAATCAGGTTTTGGAATCCCAGGAAAACATTTTGAACAGAAGGAAATTTAAACTCTATTTTCTTTCCAATGAAAGATACAAAAGTGACATTTCATAAGTAATCTATTTTATGCTTTCACTATATACTATTTACTCAGATTCAATCAACATGAACAGAAATAAGCATGCTCATTGTTTCTAGTCTATTTACATTCCATATTTGACTAATTTCAGTACTGTTCTAGTCCAGTTTCAGAAAAAGTTGGGATTGCCAAATGAGATTCGAATGAAGTGAAACACCTGCAGGAAAATAGCCCCCAAGCCTGCAATCTTATTGAAATTCCTTAGTTCACAGATGAAGAAACTGTGACAGAAGGAGACTGACTGTCCAAATGACATCAGTGTGTAGGTGTGGGATCTGGGACCAGTTCCTCTGACTCTGGGCTGACATAGTCCCCACAAAAAAAAGACAAGACTAACACTCGACCTGGACTCCATAGCTGGACCAACCTGTGGACCTTGGCCTGGAATGGGTGTTTCCTAAAAATCTAGTCCTATTCTGACAGCCAGCTCCCATGGGCTCAAGGCTGTCCAGTCCGTCAGACAAACAGTTGAATAATCAGGCTTTCGAGTTTTTTCTCCTGAGCTCAGCTGAACAGCACATTGTAACTGACCTCAATTCTTTCTATTCCTTTCATTTCCTCACTTTTTCATTTCTTTTCTCACACAGGGAAGGACGTGCAGCTCTGGTTACCTCATTTTGCATGTTTAAGTACATGGCTCTGTACAGCATGATTCAGTATGTTGGTGTTCTGCTGCTCTACTGGGTATGACTGGGGACCTTAGTTCTTGGTTAGTGAGGACCAAAACAATTTGTGGTGTACCACCCGTCCCAGTTTGCAATGCTTTTTAAGGAAGAGTGCATGTGGGGAATTGCAAGCACCAGTAGCCCCTCTAAAACCACCTTTATTTTGAAAGTAAATCAGAAATAGGTGAATGTACTTGGGAAAAGTTGATGGTGTCAATTCTCTGACTCTCTTGACATTTTTAATGCAGTGGTTGCTGAAGATCAGAACACAGCACTTTCTCTCTCGCTGTTGCTTCTGCCTGCTTGGACCAGGTCTCTATCTTCCCAGTTGCAGTGTGACTCTACTCTAGGGTACCATTCATTAGAGAGATGATTCTCTGATTGGGGTAGCTGCTAAATATTTCATAGCTGGCTCTCCCTGGAAAAACAAGTCCTGGTTATTAATGTTTGCCAACTTTCATGGTGTAAATACTACCATGGCTGGTTTCAAGCTGTCTACCTGCTGTCACTGAGCATGGAGTTGGGAGAGATATACAGAGATATACAGGAGCGTGCCATTATGTGTAATGCACCACAGAGATATAAGAGTTGTAAATTTCTTGAAAGGCATAGATAACAGCACAATGTAGGAAAATGATTAGGAAGTGGTGGGTTTGGGAGTATTTATTAGCTTTGTTTTTAGCATAATGTATTTAATGGTAGATTTGTATGACTTAAATTTTTATAATGGCTGTGCTTAACAACTAGTTCAAAAAGATCCCCGAAAACTTAGCAATTAATTCTCATGAACCTGTACAAACAGCTTATTGTTGATTCCTTAAATTCATCTCTATGTCCTGCCCTCTCGCCTCTGGATTGAAGGATTTAGTTCTGGTATTTTCAGATTACCTATGTCTCTTCCCACTCATTAATGAATGAGCTGGAGAAGGAGAAGCTATGTATGTAAATTTGGCACTATTTTGGAATCCCAATAACTCATGCTATAGAATTAAACACAGATCACCATTACTCCTTTCCATTAAAGGTGGGGGGGGCACGGAAGCAAGTTACTTAAAATCAGTAAGATCTTCACACTTTTTTTTCTCAAGAATATCTAGCTGCTTTATCAGAACTTTCTAACAATGCCCCAAAATGCAAATAGTGGGTTCAGGTATTATTCTTTTACCATCGGTAAAATTTTGGTAAGATCACCACATACTTAACACTTGTTACTCCTGGGAACTCACTGTTTCATTGTGCCAGACAAAACCCTGACTTCTCTGCTAGAAGGTAGAAAAAAGATCAGAGATGAATTTAGTGGAGTGAGATGTCCCCCTCAATAAGGGGTTGCGGATGCACAAATGACCCAGGCCAGAGAGCACACGACGGTGTCCTCCTGGCCAGAGAGGGTTTCACAGCCTTGCCTTTGGTACTCTCACTAACACAGACAGGACCCTGGCCGCACCCTCTCCTTGTAAAATCCTATGTTGCAGTGACAAAATCAGTTCATGTCAGACTTCATCTAAAAGGTCATAATTTTTTTTAAGTCATTTTCCTTTTTATTTTCAGGAGACAAACAGTCTTTCAAATTACCAGTTTCTGTTCCAGGATCTGGCCATCACAACTCTTATTGGCATAACAAGTAAGATATTTTTAAAAACTCCCTTTGCTCCCTTCAATGTACTTCCTTCTGCACCAGGAAATAAGAGCTCTACTTCTGAGTGTTGGGCAAAAAGAAAAGTGTTAGCAAAAGGAAATCTAGCTAGTTCTTTTGTTGTTTTCTACAAAATACAGAGCTTCCATAATGGTCACTAAACTTTTTTTTTTTTGGTCACTAAACATTTAAGATGAAAAATGCTCTTTGAAAATCAGGAATGCTGGGACGCCTGGTTGGCTCAGTTGTTTGGACGACTGCCTTCGGTTCAGGTCATGATCCCGGGGTTCCGGGATCGAGTCCCACATCGGGCTCCCAGATCCATGGAGAGTCTGCTTCTCCCTCTGACCTTCTCCTCGCTCATGCTCTCTCTCACTGTCTCTCTCTCAAATAAATAAATAAAATCTTAAAAAAAAAAAAGAAAAGAAAATCAGGAATGCTGACCACAGTATGCTTTCTGGTGTAATTAGTTACAGTTAAAATGTGCCCAGCTTATAGAAGCTGAATGACTTTTATGTTTTCCATCTTTAAAATCCTAGCTTTTCAGGGTTTTGAATGGACATTAAAGGTAGACTTTTGATTAGGCCACTCCCACTCCCACCTCTTAAGTGTCTCCTCAGTTTTCCTGCCGTAGGATTTTTCCCCAACCCATCCACTCCCCATCATCTTTACTATATTCTCTGCTTTCCTCTCTGTTAGATACGAATGCCAACAATTCCACCTTTAATCTTACTTCCTCCTACCTTCTCAAGGATTTTGTTTTTGTAATAATCTCTTTTTCCACCATCCTCAACTTTTCACTGGTCTGCTGGATCATTCTTATCAGCATATAAATATATTTTCTTATCCTCTACAAGATCTGATATTCAACAAAATTACTGACTGAGTGCTGAGCTTGTACTACTTACTGAAATGGGCACTTAGAATACATCAGTAAAAGAACAAAAACAAATAAAACTTCCTTTCCTTACATTCTAGCAAAATAGCACCACTATCCGCCTAGTTGTTCAAAAACCTGGAGCCATCCTTAGTTTCTCTTTTTATTACTCTTCACATCCCATACCTATGAAATTCTGGGTGGCTCTACCTGCAGAAGCTATCCTGCATCTCTCCTCTCCATCCACAGCTCTGTAACCCCTGTCACAGAGCAATGTCGCCTCCCTTGTGGATTCCTGTAACAATCTCCCAACTGATCTTGCTTCCTCTCACCCCCATTTACCTTTCCAAGGGTAGTAGAATGTTATTTTTAAGAAATAAATTTTACTAGGGTACCTGGGTGGCTCAGTCATGAAGCGTCTGCCTTCAGCTCAGGTCATGATTCTGGGATCCTGGGATGCAGCCTCACATTGGGCTCCCTGCTCAGCGGGAAGCCAGCTTCTCCCTCTCCCACTCCCCCTGCTTGTGTTCCTGCTCTCCCTGTCTCTCTCTGTGTCAAATAAATAAATAAAATCTTTAAAAAAATAAATTTTATTGTCATCCACTTGCTTAAAATGCTTTGGTCCCTGCCTGCTTCTCTGCCATCACCTCCAACCACGTTGCTACTCACTTGTTCCAGGCACCCTGGTTTTTCAGTCTCTTGAGCACTGCCAAACTTGTGGGCACCACAGTACCTTTGTTTTGCTATTTCCTTTGTGTAAGATACTCTTCCCGTCAATCTTCATATGGCTTTGACTTTTTCTCATTATTCAGATCTCAGTGAGGATCTCAATTTCTCCATAGTCTTATCCACACTTGTTATTTCACTTAAATTATTTTCATATCCTAGTCAGTATGGAATGGTATCTTATTGTGGTTTTAAATTTATTTCCCTAATAACTAATCATGTTGAATATATTTTCATGTACTTATTGGTCATTTGTATGTCTTTTTTGGAGAAATGTTTAAGTGTTTTGCTGATTTCTTAACTGGATTTTTGTCTTTGGTTATTGAGCTCTAGAGTTCTTCAGATGTTGTGGATGTTAAAACCTTCTCACATACATTATTGCAGACATTTTCTCCCATTCTATATTGCTTTTTCCTTTTCTTGATAATGTCCTTCGATGTACAAAACTTTCTAATTATGACTAAGTCCAATGTATCTATTTATTTCTTTTATAGCTCATGCTTCAGGTGTCATATCTAAGAATCCATTGTCAAATCTAAGGTCACGTAGATTTACCCTATGTTTTCTAAAAAGAATTTTATTTTATTTTTGGCTCTTATACTGAAGTCATTGATTCTTTTTGTGTTTTTGTATTAATTTCTCTATATGGTGTGAAGTTGGGGTCCAATTTCATTTATTTGGCATGTGGAAATCTAGTTGTCTCAGCCCCATTTGTTAAAAAGACTGTTCTTTCCCCAATGGATAGTCTTAACACTCATATTGAAGAATCAATTGGACATGGATGTATGGGTTTATTTCGGGACCCTCAATTCTATTACACTAGTCTGTATGCCATTACCTTACACTATTACCACAGTGTTCTGATTACTTTTTTTATAGTAAGTTTGAAATAAGGAAGTGTTGAGTCCTCCAACATTGTTCTTTTTCAAGATTGTTTTGACTATTCAGGGTCTCCTTTAATTCAACATGGATTTGAAGATCAAATTTATTATTCTGAAAATAAAACCATTTGAATTTTGATAGAGATTGTGTTGAATCTATAGATCACCTTAGATAATATTGAAATCTCCACAATATTAAATTTTTCAATCTATGAACATCTGATGTATTTCTTTTTACTTATGTTTTGCTTAATTTCTTTTAGCAAAGTTTGTGATTTTTAGTGTTCAACTCTTTCTCCTCTTTGGCTAAACTTATTCCTAGATATTTTATTGTTTTGGATGCTTTTGAAAATGGAATTGTTCTATTAATTTCTTTTTAAAATTGTTTATTGCCATTATATAGAAACACAACTGATTTTTATGTTTTGATCTTATATCTTGCAATGTAGCTGAATTTGTTTATCAACTCTAGTAGCTTTCTTTCTTTCTTTCTTCCTTTCTTTCTTTCTTTCTTTCTTTCTTTCTTTCTTTTTAAAGAGCCGAAATAGAAGTTTAATTTTTTTAAGTAAGCTCCATGCTCAATGTGGGGTTCAAACTCACAATCCTGAGATCAAGACTGCATGCTCTCTCCACTGAGCAACAAAGTGCCCCTCTAGTTACTTTGTTGTGTATTCTTTGGGATTCCCAATATACAGGATTATGTCACTTGTGAATAGAGATTGTTTTACTTCTTCCTTCTAATTTGGATGACTTTATTTCTTTTCCTTTTCTAATTGCTCTGGATAGAACTTTCAGTATAATGTTGAATAGCAGTGGTGAAATGGGCATTCTTGTCTTGTTCCTATCTTAGGGGGAACCTCTCAATCTTTCACCCTTGTATATAATGTTAACCCTGACATAACTTTTAATCATAGGGTTGCATGTAGCATACTAAATTTATAATAATTTACTTTGAATTGATACCTTAACTTTAAGAGCACGCAGAACTCTGCTACCTCACAACTCTGTTTCCTCCTTTTATATTGTTGTTGACACAAATTACATCTTTATCCATTGTGTGCCCAACAACATAGATCTATAATTAATTTTTTTGTGTTATCTTTTAAACCATATAGGAATAAAAACTGGAATTCAAAACCAAAAATACAATAATACAGTCTTCTATATTTGTTCAACTGGTTACTTCTACTGGACAAAATAAGGTGTCAGTAAAGAGGTAGAAATTATAAAAAATAATTCTTTAAAAAGAATCCCTTTTGGCTTGTTTTCATATTTTTTATCTCTTTATTGACATTTTCATTTTGTTTGTACGTTGCTTCCTGATTTCTTTGAGCATATTTGAAACAGTTGTTTTAACGTCTGTCCAATATGTCCAATGCCCAGGCTTCCTCAGAGATAAATTCTGTCAATTTATTTTGTTCCATTGAATATTATAGTGTCATAACTCTGGAAATCAGATTTACCCCCTTCCCTAGGGCTTGATGGTTTTTGTTTTGCTGTTTTTTGAAGACTGTTAGAGTACATTAGTTTAATGATTTCCCTAAACTATTTTTGCAAAGACTGTATCAGTTGTTATGTGTGGTCAATGAAATCTCTGTTCCTTTGGCTTTTGTTCAGCTAGTGTTTTGATTGAGATTTTTCTCAACCTCCATCAGTTTAAAACAATGAACAAAGAAGATTGTCTTTGTTGTACAAAAGTTTCTAATTATGATTTTGCAGATTTGTTCTGTGCTGGGGCACTTCAACACTTAGCCAGGTTTGTGCTGAGTGCAGAGATCATCCAGAGTTAAAACTAAGGGGCTGTTCTGGTCTTTTCTGACATATATCTTACCTTAGGTGTGTGCATGGCTTTCTCTGGTCCCCAATATACACAGGTGCTTTTGAAAGCCATATTTTCCCAAAGAAAATTTCTTTAGGTTTTCTTTATTTTGGCTGTTATTTTATGTCTCAGCTGTTATCTTTTGCCCCAGGTGATTGTGGGTAGTTGGTTAGGCTTACAATGTTTTTAAGCAGTGTATGCTGCTGTCCTGAGTTAAGTTTCATATTAGGTGAGAGAGATGAGCACCTTGTGCTAGTCCTTCAGGTAACTCCCAGACAGGTTAGAACAGACCTACACAATAATTAGTGTTGAAGTCTGCTCTTTTCCTCCTGTGGCCAGACATGAGAGTCCTCCCCATATTGGGAGTGTGAACAATCAACTTTGAGATTGCCACTGAGATGAAGAGGAGTATGGCAAGGGCAAGTAAAAATGACACAAAGCCTACCTACCACTTTTAAATTGCCTTTTTTTTCTTGATTTAGCATTTGTTTGATTGCTATAAACCTTTGTTTTTCAGAGTTCCAATGAAGTTAGTTTTAACAGTTTCTGCTTGTTTTTCGATGTTTCTGTGGAAGGATGGGAACTTGGAACTTCCTTCTCTGCCATTTTTCTGATGTCACTCCTCATTTTGTCATTGAATATTTTAAAGCATTACTTTTTAGTGACTGTATGTTCTTTCATTATATAGATGTACCATACTTTACTGTAAATGATACAGTAATGAACATCTTTCTATACCTCTGATTTTTTTTAGCTTAGGGTAAATTTCCAGGAATGACCATGTCAAATGTTATGGACAATTTTCACTTTTTTCATATTTATTATTAAATTGCCCTACAGAAGGTTTGTGTCAACATAGATTCCCATAAACAGTGTACGAAAGTATGCATTTCATCATGCCTTCACTTATAATTTTATGGCCTTTGCTCATTTAATAGGCAAAAATAAAAGTGGCTCATGATTGTTCTGTCTGCTCTCTTAAGAATTTCTCATATGACTTGAGCTGGGGCCCATTCTTGTTTCGTTCCCTCAAAAAAAATGATGTATTTCAGTTTGTCAGTGTGCTTGGATATGTGGGCCCAAGAAGTTACACTGTTCTTCTGATGAAGAATAAAACATTTCCCTGCTCTCATAAATATAAAACTTGAATTTATTTTGTAGTGAATTTGAATGGTGCCTACCCCAAGCTGGTGCCTTTCAGGCCTGCAGGAAGGCTGATCTCCCCACCTCTGCTGCTCTCTGTGATTTTCAACATTCTTCTCAGCCTGGCTATGCACATTGTGGGCTTCATTCTGGTTCAGAGGCAGCCTTGGTATTCCATGGAGATGCACAGGTACTATCAAAACCTCAATTCCAACATTTCACATTCTAATTTCTAATGATAGGAAGCCAATGGTTCTTCATTCTTCTAGAATTGTTGGCTTCTTTAAGTCCCTTGGGAAAATTTCCAGTGATCTTCTCTTCTCAGTAGCACAGTTTGAGGATGTTATTCTATGGCATGAATCTTTTCCTGTCTTGTGTCTTAACGACCTATGACCATCTTTTACATCTAGGGTGACCATGCATTGTAATTTGCCCAGTCAGCCCCTCTTTAAGCCTGATATAACAATGAAACTAATTGTAATTAATTACTGAAGTGTAATTGGCATACCACATTATATTAGTTTCAGGTGTACGAGCTATCGGTTTGGCAATTCTATACATCATTCAGTGCTTAACGACGATAAGCACCATCTATCACCATACGTTATTATGATACTACTGATTATATTCTCTATGCTGTACTTTGCATCCCTGTGACTTATTCAGCTGTATCTGGAAATCTGTACATCTTTATCCCCTTTATCTATTTTCCCCACCCACCCCCATTCATGTCTCCTCTGGCAAGTACCAGTTTTTCTGATGATATTTGTCTTTTTCTTTCACATTAAAATCTGTTCTTATTATATGACAAATTATATAGTCACCTTATTTATAAATGTCTAGAGATCTTAAGCCATGAGAGGGAAGAATCATGACTTACTCATGTCTTTCCCACATATCCAAAATACACATGATGGGTGTCCAATTTATTGAACATATATATAATTTGCTTATCTATCTATTCTCTATCTATCCATCATCTTCCATCATCTGTTTATCTATCATCTATCTATTTATCATCTAGCTATCTTTTATCTATTCATCTATCCAAAATATAGATCTATCTGTGCTGGTTTCCTTCTCCTTACTTTTCAGTATATTCTTTCCCAAAGTATAAGCAATTACATTGAGGGCATGGAGTCCTATAGATACAAATGATCTAAATGTTCCATAAAGACCTGTCATCTTACTTCATTACATTTTTTTTTGCTTCCTTTTTAGTGTCTGCACACTACAAAATGAAAACATCTCAAAGTTAATTATTTCTCCAACTGCTCCAGAAAAAATTGGAAATAATGGTGCCTTCACAAGCTTTGAGAACACTACCATATGGTTCTTAGGAACAATCAACTGTATCATTGTGGCTCTTATTTTCTCTAAAGGAAAACCGTTTAGGCAGCCCATCTATACAAACTGTGAGTAGCATTGTAGTAGATCAGAGGTGAGAGGTCACCAGAGGGAACAGATATTCCTAGGTCACTCAGGGAGCAGCTGCAGAGTTGATGATTATCTTGGGTTTGCTGACTTCTACTCTAAGGTTTGCTAAAACACATCATGCAACCTCATCCTTTGCTCCTTCCTTCAAAGCTGCATTAAATTCTAGGGTTTATTTCTCTACCCTTTCCTTCACCAGAGGTTTGTATCTAGGTGTCTTTTTATGACACCACTCCAAATTGGGATGGCCATTTATTTCCTTACTTGTCAGTTTTTGTCACAATTCTTCTGGGAGGAAGTGGAGAGAAGCATCTCAGTGTTCAGACGGAACATGTCTCCTGCCATGAAGACAATGATTAAAATGGTTGGCAGCCTGGGAGTGGGTCCTTCCTGAAGGAACCTGGCCTTAGTGATTTTGGAGGCTCTTAGACAAAGTACCTACAACCCCTTACATTCTGTGCTGGGGTGGGGAGTGTGTTAGGACATGATTAGCTCTTGGGACATTTATTTGTATGTCACCACTACCTCTCTAATTGGGAAGATTTAGAAGCACAAGTTGAACAATCAATATCCTCATAAAGATGTGTTTGTTCAGAGAAAGTTATTTTGCCCTTCTTCTTAGGATGAGAAAGCAGTCAAATGCTGACCTGTACATGACTGCCATTTAAACATTTGATTATTTATAGCCCTCCTTTTTTTCCAGAAAAGGATTTGAGGCAGGTGTGTTTTTTTTTTTTTAAGATTTTTTATTTATTATTTGACAGACAGAGATCACAAATAGGCAGAGAGGCAGGCAGAGAGAGAGGAGGAAGCAAGCTCCCTGCTGAGCAGAGAGTCCGATGCGGGGCTTGATCCCAGGATCCTGGGATCATGACCTGAGCTGAGGGCAGAGGCTTTAACCCACTGAGACACCCAGGCACCCCTGAGGCAGGTGTTTTGTATTAAAAAGACTCAGGTACTTAAATGTCTTCAAGACATTTTTTGAATATATATTATATCAATGTTCCTCTCTCTATATTTCCTACTTTTATTAATTGAAACTTACAACATGCATGTGAAAATTTCCACTTGCCTCAAGGACATGCATAGAAATTGTGGAGGTGAGACCCATTGCATAGAAATGAGTACTTTCCATTTATTACACTGTGTTTGGGTGTAGAAATCAAGTAAATTTAATCAGTGTTAATCTAGAATATGTCTATCGATAGATGTGACATTCTATGTTCTGATTTCTCTAAATGATAGCTTGTGTTCTTATTTCCTCAGATATATTTGTCCTTGTGCTGGTCCTACAGCTGAGTGTGTGTCTGTTCATTCTATTTGCTGATATTCCAGAATTATATAGGCGTTTGGATGTAAGTCTTATCTCTGGGATATGATGATGGTTTATAGTTATGTAACACCCTGACTTCAAGAAGCAGGTCACAATTGCAATTGACACAGATTCTTGACACTGATTATTCTTTTCAAATAGTAGAGTTAAAAAGAATACTGAATTTATTCATATTTTGTATTTAAGCTGGCCAGGAAATAAGATTCTATCTAGTCTTGATTTCCATGTATTTCAGAAGCATTGAACATTTTTCTTTTAAAAGATCCTTGTAAGAATGGAAAAATCTATTTATATATATATATTCTCTTTCAAGTGTGAGACATTTTTTTTCTAAATGCTTCTGTTTTTAAGCTGTTGAAAACAGTTTGCCTATTACACTTTTTCTGTTAATTCTCAAATCTGTGTTTACATCTTTTTTAAAAAAAACTCATTAAAAACATGTTTGTCTATATATTCATATTTAATGTCTGCAAAACTTGTTTGAAAAGAGCTATACCTTGCCTCATGAATTGTCTAATAATGTGTAGTTTTGAGACAAATTTAAAACTCTTTAAGAGACAAATTTTACATATTTGAGCAAGGGAAAATATATATATTTCTATTATTTTAATCTATACTCTCAAATTAGAAGTTCATTATTGCCAAATGTCCTTTAGACCAATAAGTAGAATAGAGAAGAGATGGTAAAAGGAAATGAGTTTTCTCACTTAGTGCTATGTGAGCCTACCTGGCCTCCTCTCCATCTCAAAGACACGTTTCAAGAAGGTCAAAATCCTATCTTATTCATTCTCATATTACTGGTGCCTAACATAGCCCATGGCACATAATGGCAATAAATGACTGACTGGCTGTTGTAGATTAGGTTCCTACATGGAGATGAGCACTAGGAGCTCACAGTTCATTGCAAACCAGCAAAACCTTCACAAACCCTTCTTGACATGTGACACACAAACTAATGTCTACGTTTATTTTTCATTTTGATAATTGTGTCACTGTGGCTAACACTGTAATTGCCACTGTTATTAAACATCTCCATGAATTAGAGTAAGAACCATGGAGATAGTCTTTGTGCACTAGTCTTCTAAGGAAGTTAAAAGTTCTTAATCCTGCAGAAGTTAGGGTCAAGACATGTTAGGTTTATTCGCACTCTTTAAAAGCAAAAACTCTTATGGAAAGGCTGATGTCTTTGAGGGGAACCTGTGTGAGGTCATTGCTAACATGACTGCAAAGGAGTTTCCAGAGAATTATTGCTCACCTTAAAAATAACTATTTTTCTTCTTATTACACAAAATTGCAAGTGCATTTTGGTAAGTGACTATGCAGGCAAAGAAAATTATAACATTATTCACTATATCCTTCCATCTTTGAAACTTCATATATTATAAATGTGCATTGACTGATTTATGAAGTTTATTTTAAATGGAGTCATGCTGTTTTATAACCTAGTTATTGTTCATTTTTTCAGAAAGTGCATGATTTTTCAAAAATAGAGAATACATTCACACAGTTTAAAATTCAAGAATTAGAAACTCTACATCCTCCCATCCTTTTTCCCCAGCTGCCAGGTCCCCTCTCTCAAGGCAACTGATGACACCCCTTTATTTTATATACTTTCAGGCATCTTTTATACATATGCATGCATACATATATATCATTTTTACACGAATAGTAGCAGACTATTACATTTGTCCAGGTCTTCTGAACTGGAGATGGCAAGGTGAGATGAGATACGTAAGCAAGTTTTGGAGGAGCTGCCCATATTGGAAAGAACATTAGCAAGCCAGAAAAGGAGGGGGAGAGTCCCCCACTCTGATGTGGGTCTGACCTCCATGAAGGAGGGCCAGATGTGTAGGGGTTCAGACTACAGTGCAGTTCTTTTTTTTTTTTTTAATTCTTTTATTTTTGAAGATTTCATTTATTCATTTGAGAGAGAATGAATTGAAGAGAGAGATGGGGGTGAGCATAAGCCCATGGGATGGGGAGAGGGGCAGAGGGAGAAGGAGAAGCAGACTCCCCTCTGAACGGGGAGCCCGATGCAGGGCTCAGTCCCAGGACTCTGGGATCATTACCTGAGCCGAAGGCAGACACTTAACTGATTGAGCCACCTAGGCACTGAGTGGTGCAATTCTAAGAAAGCCCGACTACAGTTGCTTATCAGAGGTGTCTAGTGTCTCACAAGAATGAGTGCAGTGAGAAGGCCTGCCATCCTCAGTTATTAGCTATGAGCAACCCATGGGAAGCGTGGCCTCAGGGGGAGCATGGTGGGAGATTCTGAGCGGCACTGCAGCGCCTGCCACTTATTCTTCCAGTAGGACACTTCCATGGAGCATGTTCACAGCTGCCCCAAACACATACTAATTCTTCACCTTGTTCTTTCATGAGACAGTGTATTCTGATAATTGCTTCATATCAGTACATGAAGCTTCCTCATTCATTTTTTATGCTAATATATTATTTCAATATACGTACATGAACCATAATTTATCTGTAGTCCCATATTGATTGACATTTAAGTTGCTTCCAGTGTTTAAAGCTGCAATGAAATAACCTTATACATATATCATTTCCGGCACATACAAATATGTCTCTAGGATAAATTCCTAGAAATGGTTTTGAACTTTTAATTTTAATAGCATTGCCTACCACAGAGCTGTACCACTTTTTAATCCCTTGTTGTGGAAGGCAGTGTATGAGGCAGTTGCCCTGCCCAGAGGTGTGCACTTGGCTTCATTTCGTTCATCCATCCATCCATCCCTTCATTTATCTACCCATCCATCCATTCAGTATACATATCTATTATATATATCACGTGCCTGGGGAGGGATTGAGAAAGATTCAGAGAAACTGGGGGAAAAGGTATGAAGGGTCAGCTTCATTTCAGACCTGTTTGCTGCATCTGTGAGTACCCTCGTCATGGCACCTTCCATGCAGCTGTACACACAGTTCTGAGGGTGCAACCTTGAATTGAGTCTCAAAAGCAGGGCTCAGCTGAGGGGAGATGTGGGATCAGAGAGAAGAGGGCAACCCTGCCCATTGTGGAGGTTTGACATGTGTATCCTCAGAGCCTCCTGGGAATAGGGCCACATTCCTGTATTCCTTTGCAAAAGCAAACAATGGAAGCAAACAAAAACACTCTTATTAAATTTATCAAATTTTGATAAAATTTATTTTAGGAAATTTAGAAATTACAGGGGAACCAAAAAATAAAAAGAAGAAGAAAGAAAAACAAAAGAAAATAAAGCAACAATCACAGTTTACAAATCATTGGAATCATTGGGTATAAGCCTTCCACATTGTTTGATACATGCATAAAAACATGTCTTATTATATGTATTATATGTATGTGTGTATTATATATATGTAACATACACACAATGCATGTCTATTACATACATGATCTATAACCTATGAAAATGTACACCATGAACATGTGAACATTTTTCTAGTGTTTATTTTTCTTCAAACTAACAGTGACTCTCCATCTCCCACCAGCTGCTCTGCACTCCTGTTCTGTGGAGGGTCTACATCATCATTATGCTCAGTTCCAATTTCATTGTGTCCCTTGTTGTGGAGGTAAGTGCCCCGGGGGTGCTGATCATTTGGGGCAGAGATGGACAGGGCATTCTTTGGGAGTCTGAAAAAAGCAACGGTCTTATTTGATAAGACTCAGTAGTGCCAGGGGCTCCATTCCTCAGCCACATGAACAATGGTGCTTTCTCCTGGTGAATTCCAAATGGTGTTAGTTCTCCCATCTACAGAGCGCACCAGGAGAGAATGGAATTATGGTGTCCAAAGTCCTGTTCATTTATAAAATCCACAAATAGAGAACCAACTCATTTTTGAAATTAAATATGATTCACATACTATAAAATCTATCTTCTTAAAGTATGCAGTTCAGTGGTTTTTAGTATATTAACCAAGTTGTACAACCATCGCCACTAATTCCAGAACATTCTCATCACCCCAGAAGAAATCCCGTGCCCAGTAGCAGTCACTCCTCATTCCCCTTTCCCCTCCTTCACCCCTTGGCAACCACTAATTTACTTTCTGTCTCTATGGATTTGCCTGTTCTGGACATTTCACATAAAGGGAATCATATAATATATGGCCTTTTGTGTCTGACTTCTTTTACTTAACAACTTCTATTACTTTTACTTTACAGATGGGAGATAAGATTCATAGAGCTTTTCCTGGCTTTTATTCTTCATCTCCCATTTGCTCCATTCCCTCAGTAAAATGAATCTGTGCTCCCTCTTTCTTTGGCTACGTGGTTCACTCTCACCTCCTTCAGTGCTATTAGACAAACTCTGTATTCTTCAAAGCCTCCTGAAGAACAGGGAGCATCCCTGGAAAAGGCATCTGTGTCAAAGGGAGGTGAGCATCAGGATTCATTCTGTCCACATTCTTTCTTCTGGTTGCAAACCCAGCCTTGTTCCAGTGAGGGGGAGATTCATGGTGGGTGGAGGGTATCTGGAACCTGAATTCCCTGCAGAACCTTCCATACTAGGCAGGGTAAAAACTGCGCAGGAGCTGGTGGCAGAACAGAGCATGGAATAAAGGTACTGGAGCCTCTCTCTGTATGCAAACCAGGGCCTCTCAAACTGGGATGGGCACCAGAGTTACCTGGAAGACTTGTTAAAACACAGGTTGTCCAGGCCTTCTCCTAGCATTTCTGATTCAGTAGGTCTGGAAAAGGTGCAAGTTTTTGCTTCTAACAGGTTGTCAGGTGATTCTGATACTGCTGGTTGAGAAACCACATTGACAAGGACCATGCTAACCCATAGAGATCTCCAAAACCACCAAATTAATAAAAGAGCCTCACATGGGTGACCTCATACCTAGTTGCAGAAGGGTGAACCTTGCCCTTTAAGGGATAATCTTATGTATGTATCTTGTCCCTGGCAGTGATCACATTATTTCCTCTGTTTAGTGCATCTGCCCCCATGTCTGCATATTGAAATGCTATTCCATCCTCTATGGCACCATTGTAGTACTATCCTCTTTGTGAATCTTTCCCAAAGCCTGGATAGGTTAGACAAGTAACAGTGGCTTAAACAATGAAGATATTTATTGATTTACTTAAGAAGATAGGAGGTATCGCTTCTCAGCCTTTTGGCTAAAATCAAGTGAAGAAGATAGGAGGTAAGTGGTTGCAGGGCTGGTTTAGTACCTCAGTGGTGTCACTGGGGATCATGAATCTTTCACTTTTCTCTCTCTCCATTTTTAGATATTGGCCTTTCACATTTGTGTGTATTGCTTGTGTGTCCAGATCACTTCCACGTAGCTGAGCATTATCTCTGTTTTAATGCAGGAGGACATGAAGGCATCAGCAATCTTTTTCCCCTCAAGTATGAACCTTTTACGAGGAAACAAAATAATTTCCTACAGCCACCTGAGCTTCATTGGTTAGAATTGTGTCTTATCTACTCAACCTGAGTAGTAAAGGATTCTGGAAAACTGGATCTATGCTAAAAAATTAGGCAGATTGGCTTAGATTGCTTGTGAGGTATTTTTTTCCCCCTTTAAGGTAGACAGGAAAAAGTTGGAAGGAGTGTGCTGAACAACAAAGTAGGATACTTTGTAGGAGGACTTCTCCAGCCCTTTCCCTACCATTTCTGATTCAGTAGGTCTGGTGACAGGTGCCAGGTAACTAAGCAACAAAGTCTGCCATAATCCCCTAGTAAGAAGCTGTTCAACTGCCATTACATTTGCAGAAGGATTCTACCTGGGTTTGAATCCTGGGTCCACCCTTTCCTGCTGCCTGACTCTGGGCGACACCTGCTATTCCAATTCTCTGTGTCTCTGTTTCTTCATCTGAAAGACAAGTGATAATAGGGTACCTTACCTCAGAGGGTTGCTGTGAGCATGAAATGTGAACACAGAAAAGCACATAGTAAATATTTGATAGTGTAATCTATTAATATCATATTTTCTCTTGTGGTACTTAGTATTTCTTACTTTGAATCTATCAGTCATTCAGGATTTCATTTGTTTATTTGCTCTTTCCACAAACATTTGTTGACCATATGCCATGTCCTTGGGGACAGTGCAAGGTGGATTTTGATGACCTTGTCCATTGCTCAGAGTTTAGGGTGAGCAAGAGGATAAATGCCACAGTTATGTGTGTATAGGGTATATATGGATATAAACTGTGCTGGCAAGAACTCACCTCAGTACCTGCACTATCTAAAACCCTGCTTTATTCTAATAGAAGCTGGGTAAAGTTTTGTTCAGTTATTAAATGTGAGAGGTGATGCTGCTTGCCTGCAGCAGATGGAGAGGGTAATTTGATACTCATGAAAGATTAAGTTTCTCCTCTTTTTCTTGTGTTGAGTGAGAAGTGGAGATAGGCGTGGATGTTTAGTGTGGGTTCCCAGCAGCTTTCTCACTGAGAAATAACACTGTGAGATCCCATCTCTCACCACCAGGCTCTTCCACTGCCATCTCCAGTTGTTTGAGGTTACTCTTCTCCTGCTGTCAGGGGATGCTCAGGAACAAGGCAAAGCCATTTGAGTCTGTGGTGAAGGACCTTGTAATGGAGAATTACGGACACTGAGATGTCTTGCCTTACAAGGTGAGCCTAGCAGAGGAGGTAAAGACCCCAGACTGTCATGGATGCAGCAAGATACTTTCCTCAGGTAGTTGTAGGTATGTCTGACAGCAGATGCTAAAGATTCCTGGGATAGGCATGCTAACTCCATACTCCCTGGCCAGCCTGTGACAGAGATCATCCAGAGAGGTTTTGGGGGACAGGCATGAGGGATGGCTGGCCTTTTTTGGTATAGTCCTGAATATTGCCTGGTCTGCTAAGAGGTCTAACCCTACCCCTAATCTTAGAATGGCCTAACAAACAGATTTGAATGGAACCTTATCTTTACTTCTCTTTCTCATGATGTAACCTCCAACTGAAAGGCAGAGGAGCTAACATGGATAGCTTAATTCTCCTTCTTTGTCTTAAAATTAATTATGTGTGTGTGTGTGTGTGTGTGTGTGTATACATACATATATATATACACACACATATATGAATTGTTTTCATAACCAATCTGAAGAGCTTGTGTGATGAAGTTTTGTTTTTTGTTTTTTAAGAAATGGTATTTCATAAAGAGGTTCTTTTTGTTTCTAGTTCTACATTTAATTTACAATGTAGAGTGATAGGAAAGATCACTTCCCAGTGCTTTAGTTTCCTTTTACAGAGCAGTGAAGTGATACAGGTCATCATAACTCTACATAACTCTAGAACTGTGAAAACACTCAGTGCGTGGCATACAGCACTAAAGTCCATGTGTGTGTCTGTGTTTTGCTTCGTTTCATTTGTTTTAAAACCTGCTAAATTTTCCCAGAGGTAAGTCAAATTTTAAGACCATTAATTGGATACCTATGATCCTGCCTTATTCCAGCTCTAAGGAGAACTACTCTTCTCTTATGGATTAAGAAGGACAAAAACCCTTTGGTATGGGAAAATAGAATCACAAATCTGGCTAGGTGAGCCCTGAGGATTGCAAGATGGTCTTGAGATGACTATGTGGGTCTTTAAAAGCCTGTTCACAGATGATCCATTTTTAGAGAATGATTCAGACTAGTTGTACCCATTATTTCCATTGGCAATGGGAGTCAAATGTCAAAGATGGGTGAATTTTAGGAAAACTGCTACTCTGGCATAATTGACTCTTCTAATTTAGTAAAGATAGCACTGACAAATACCAAAATGAGTTTTAAACCTGTGGGACAGCAGGATTTTTTTCTTTTTGTTTCTTTTATGATAACTTCAAGATGGTTAGCTTTTATGGCTACATATGATAAAAATGAAAAATTAACAAAATAATCACTCATGCATTCTATGTTGTAAGTTATAATTTGGGCTCAATTTGAGGCGCTGTCATGAAATAAAATGGCAGTCTAAAATGTTTCCAAAGAGACGTATCTTTTGTAATCTTAAAAAATGCATTGCAATGAAATATTTGTAGGTGAAGGTCAAAGGCCACAACCAACATAGCGCATAGCCATTTGTTAAATAGTTCAGAAGGGTGGCAAAGGGAGGCACCGATATTGTGCCATATCTTGCATTATAAGGAGAGTTACATAATATTTATGGCAAACATAACAGGAAGGAATTATTATTTCTGCTTACTGAGGCTCAGGAAAGTAATTAATTTGTCCATAGTATGTGTCAGATATAGAACCTGAATCCAGATCTGTCCAAGTCTAAGACTGGTGCATATTTCAACTTTACTGACCTCTGTTTGTAACTATGCACTTATATGCCAGCGCAGATCAAAGCCACATCATACCCATGGCACATCTTTCTGTTGGGTAATTGCATTTGGTGGTAAATAATTTTAAATATCAGTTTATATGAAATTAAATATGGGTGTGATATGGAGTAGTTTGCAGAATTTGAATGATTTCAAATTTAATTTATATACAAGATTTAGGAGAAATTTCACCCTTGAGACAGACTACTTCAAGTTGTATCTAGATTATTGAAACTATGTACCTCTCTCTCCTCCTAGAAGAGTTCCACAAGTGGAAAAGTTTGAGAGGCTGAGACCTAACCCATGAAACCATATTGGAATTGTTTGTCCAGGCCTCAAGCTTTTTGTCAAGCTGGATCTAAGCAGCCAATGTGGTGGTTCCTTCTTGGGGTGTATGGAGGGCCCTAACCTGGAAATATTTGACTTCTAATTATAAAGAGTAACTCTTTCTTTTGCAGGAGGCCATCATTGAAAATCGAGCCCTGTGGATGACATTCAAAAGGTGTTTTGGCTATCAATCAAAAAGTCAGTATCGGATATGGCAGAGAGCCTTGGCAAATGACCCTAGTTGGCCACTATTAAACAAAACATCTTACTCTGACATGCCAGGGTGTGGAAGAGGAGTGTCTTATAGCAATCCAGTGTTTGAGAGCAATGAAGAACAACTCTGAAGCCAGTGTGATATACAAGTTAACAAAACATGGAAATGATGACAGAGAGCAGTTTCAGTGAGTTTCAAGTAATGAGACTCTTCTAAAATCAGCTGGAGTTTCTGGAATCAAAAACCTACCCAATCATGGTGACAAATTAAAAACTTGATAAAATACTTTCTACAGAGCAGAACACTGCCCCAGAAGAGTGCTTTCCTCTTAGCTTCTGAAAATATTGACGGTGTTAGTGAATCAAGAATGGTTCCAAGGATGGCAATTGACCAAGAGATTGGGAAGCTAATGGACAAAGAGAATATATAATCTTTCTTCTTAGATAACATATTTTTTAAATGAGTTGAGAGAAAGTAGTACTATGTGTAGTCATAGAATTGTAACATGCAAAAGATCCCTTTTGAATTTGTGTTTTGTTGGCAGAAAAACAAATGCATGGGAGACTTCACACCAATCTTCACTGTCCAGTTTCCTTTCTTTTATAGTACTTTCAGAGTTGAGACAATTCCCTCTGCCTCTGGCCTTCCCCTACATATTACTAAGGATTGGCTAAGCTGATGTTGCAATAACAAACAACTCCCTTGTCTCAGTGGCTTGACACACAAGAACTTCTTTTATGGTCCAGGTGACACTAGACTAGCTTTCTTCACAGTGCTGACTGCCTCAGTCTGTTGGCCCCACTGACTGAAAACAAGGACTCCACGTTCATTGTGATGGGGAAGGAAGAGTCTGGAGATCACACAGGGCTTTCACCCCAAAACTCGATGTATTTCTTCCACTACTTGAATCTCATTCATTAGGGATTTGGCAAAGAAGTTGCGAAGTACAGTCACTTATGTTTAGGGTTGGTTTCATGGGCGTATGACCTGTGTAGTCATCTAGATCCCCATGCTTAGAAGGGCCCCACCTTTATTTTAATGCTTTGCTGTTGCCACCTTGAAATTCTTAATTTTGAAATACCCACATTTTCATTTTGGATTCAGCCCCACAAATTATGTAGTTGGTCCAGCTTGTATTCTTAGGAAAGAAAGGAAAGTAGCACATATCAAAGAGCACAGACACTGTCCTCTAAGGTCTACATCTCCTGCCCCTGTGAACATTTCCTGCTTTAGGAACTCCACATCTCACATATCCAACTTCAGGTATTTCCACTCCTCTGCTCTATTATTTTTGAGAAAAGTTAGTCTTGTGCTACAACATTATATGTTATCATTAACATAAATCCTTACACAATCTACTCATTTCTTAAGTCTGAGGCTTAAGTTTATTTTCTGAAAATAAAAATGGCCCTTATTTTTATCACTCTTACAATTTCTTTTTTTTTTATTCATTTAGCACAGAAAACACTAAGATTTCTCTTAGTTCAGCAGACAACTCTGTGTTTTAGGACAATTTCCACAAATAGTATTTTAAAGCAAAAGCAAAATGTTCATTACAAACATCAAATCCTAAGTGAATGTTCTAGGCATGGGTAGGTCCCAGGCTGGCTTTGTTACTTACTGGTAGCATATACAAGCAGACCCTTCCCTGGCTGAATTCCTGGGGATGGTTGGAGGCTCTGTGGCTATAGATAATTCTGGGAACATGGTTTCTATCAGCCATGAAAGTACCTTGTTTCTTCTGGTTTTAAAATAGGGTGTGAAGAATCATTTAAAATAGGCTGTAGAATCATTGTCTTCCTCTGTCCAGAAAGAAATGTTTTCTTTTATAAAGTTAGTCTCAGCAGTGATATGGTAGTTCTGAATGTCTTTTTCTAAGACTCACAGTTTATTCATTTTTCAAGAGTGGAGGATTGTGGACAGAACAAGCTGGAGATGCTCTACAACCTGGTGATGGAGAAGAGCAGCATGTGCATTCACACCTTGAAGAGCCCCTTACCAGGTGCTCTTACCTTCATTAGCTCATTCAAATTGCATGATTCTCTACAGACTTAGGCAAGGAAAGACTTACCGTCTACTTTTACAGGTGAGAAAACGGAGATTCAGAGTAAGGCAAGCTGACCCAGGCCTTAGACATAGATCTTCAGAGCAAACCTTCTGTGGTTTCTAAATATCTCCTAATTACAAAGCTCCGGCAGGGCAGGGTGTTTGAGGTGATCTCACAGTCAAACAAAGACTGAGTTTCTTAATTGCCAGGTGGAAGGAGGAACCTTTTGCTAATACCAGGGCCTAATGTTCAAATGAATACCAGCAATCCTACCAGGCTTGGGCTAGAGGTATGTTCAATACAAAATAAAACAAAAACCCATGAGTGTTCATCTGAGACTCTGAGTTGCTCTTAACTTGGTCCTAAGTCATTCAGTCACTGAGGACTGAATCTATAATCTTTGTCAAAAGGGACTTATTCTGAAGACTACTTGAAATTAACTATATCTTAGAGGTAGTGAGAAAATGCTTAACTTGGAAAAGCAGGGCTGGTAGGGGTATTGTCTAGGAATGTAAGAGTTGTTTTCAAATACTTGAAGGGTTTCCGTGGGAGAGAAGCCTCCCACCTGTGCCGGGTGGCATTATCAGTGGGTAAAGGGCATGATGGGAAAGGCTTCAGGCTGACACAAAGACCCTGTCCCAACAGCACAAACGCAAGTGGAATCTGGTGACCTCATGGAGCGTGTGCTCCGTGTCACTGGAGGTGCAAATGATATTCAAAGACTAATTAGAGATAAAAGTCAAGTATCAGATGGAATTCAATTACCTGCAAGATCCCTTTCAGGCTTGATATGTATATGTCTCAATTTTATGCTATGATGTGAACCATTCATTGTTACTTGCCATATAGACTATCAGACTGCCTGTTGTGGGGAGATGAGCTGGGGAGGACAGACTCCCAGCCCTGTGGGGTCCACAGTGTGGACAAATGGGCTTGACTGCTCTGTGCCTTGGAATGTGACTTTTGATGGAGATAAAATTCTCGAAAATAGGTGGCTGCTGATGGGTCTTGACTGCCTAACTGACAGCTGGTGAATACTTCTGTTGTATGTGTTTTCATAGAAAAAGAAGTTTGAATATTTCAGTAAAAGAATGTGGGACAGTGCCCCAAACCTGAGGGTAGAGCACCTGCACCCAATACACTTATCTGACTAGAACTTGGAGGAGAAAATGACACTCATCTGACCCAAATCATTTAAGAGGTTCACCATATGTTTACTCCAAGGCACACAGCTCTGACCCATAAGGAGGAACCCTGACTCTGGGCTCTTCACACTAAACAAGTAATGATCTGAGAATGGAAATATGTCTGTGCCATCTGCGTCCTTATGAGCTCATAGAAGTGTGCATGTACACACTTGCAGATGTGATGACTGGGAAAGTGATTATTTATTCAGAGCCTTGTATTTAGTTTATGTTGTAATAAATTATTCTTTACAAAAGAGGCAAGTATAATCTATAATTCTGGTGTTCTAAAAATCAATCTTTCTCCTTTACTGCAGTGGAGTCTTTCATTCCAGCTAATAAAATGGTGTGGTCTACTCCAGTAATGTTGAAGCAACAAAACATCTTTAAAAAGTTCCAGGCATTTCCTAACAGTATAGACACTATTATTTCCTGCTTTGTAACTGGGCGTTTACAGTCTACAAAATACTTTCATACATATTCTCTTGTTTAAGTCTCATAACAGTCATAGAAGGAAGGCAAGACAAGGATTACTAGCCTCCTTCTTTTGATGAGGTACCAGACCCTCCAAAAGTCTCAGTACCTTGTCCAAGGACATACTGGAACTAGAGCTGCATTCAGATGCAGAACTTCTACCCATGAGTTTCCTGCTCTGTCACTCTCCCATGATGTTTCTTCTAGATGAAATGTTTGTAGCGCTGAAAAACAAGGCAAGCAAGGCAAGGCAACTATCCAATGGATTGCCATCACACGTGTAATTGCTTCCAAAAAGACGTTTTAGTTCTCATAGACATTCTCTTGAATTTGATCATTAATCACAGAAAAGGTCAACTCCTATGGCTGAGGAGTAAAATCATATAACCAGAGCTCTTTGAGTCTATTTCATGTGAGAAGATATAGCTCTGGTTCCTGACTTCAGTCTCCAGAACCAGAAACCTGTATCTCTGCTTGAATTTTGCCTCTGCTTTGTACAGCAGTTTAGGGTCATATGGATTCTGTCTTGTGCTAAACTCACTTCCTTATGTAGTCAGTAGCTCACTCATTCTTTCCCGCACTCTATAACTCACTCATTCTAGGCATACAGGAAGTTAACTCTCCTAACTCAGTACTTTTGTTCATGCTGCTTTCTCTTTGCAGGCATCAATCATTATTACTCTCATCTCCACACAGTCCAATCCCTCCCATTTCTCAAGACCCAGTTAGAATGCCACCTGGTCTGCCAAGACAGAAGGGAGACCTTTTCTGTTTACACACTGCTCACACTCCACTCCAGGCGCCTCTTTTGTGTGCCAAGCAGCTCTTTTTGCCATGTGTTATAGTCCTATAGTGTTCTGACTTCTCCCAACTCTCACTCAACCCTGCTTTAACTAGAGAGCACATTCTCTGAGGGTAGGGACCAAACTTGATTCATCTCACCTACCCACTCTGCACCTAGCACAGGGTGAAGGCTGGGACTCAGCAAACAGCTGTGGCATGACTGGATAAAAAATATAATCACTGGGATATTTTGTTGATTTATTATTCCTCCTTTGTCTGTGAACACATGTTTTCTATTCAGTACAAAGAAGCTTAACCGAAGTAATAGGACTATGAATAAAAACAAAAAGTGCCAAGTATAGTGATTCCAATGTTGAACTTACTCAGTTTGTCCATTTACGTGGTGGGATGCGGAGGTGTGCTGTAGAGTTAGAGTTGGGTACATGCTACAAAGACTCTCTCAAGGGTGCCTGCGTGCCTCAGTTGTTTGAGCGACTGCCTTTGGCACAGATCATGATCCTGGAATCCTGGGATCGAGTCTCACATTGGGTTCCCTGCTCAGCAGGGGGTCTGCTTCTCCCTCTGAACTTTCCCCTCTCGTGCTCACTCTCTTTCATTTTCTCCTCTCTCTCAAATAAACAAATAAAATCTTAAAAAAAAAAAAAAAAGACTTTCTCAATATGTAGGGGACCCTAGAGGTGGATTTTTGTACAGCTACAGAGGCTCTCCCAGGAATACACTCAATCCAAGTGCGGGGGTGGAATTGAGGAAAGCAAACATGTTTAAAAACCAAACACAATGTAATAGAGAACAAGAGAAAGTTTGAGTTCATCTGGGTGTGTATTTTTCTATCTGTTCTCTAGTTTCACCCTAACTTTAGGAACTTTCGCAAGGACTTGAGGAAAAGAAAGATATGATGGAGAGAGCAGGAGGGCAGAGAGAGAAAGAAAGTTCCATTCTGTGATCTGTGTGTCAGAGAGTATAATGAAAGGAGGGCAGAGGGAATCCACCTGTGTCCTCTGTCACCCAGCAGTGATGTGACTATGGGATCATAGGTGGAAGATGTATGATGCTAGTGGCTGTTGGTACCATGCTGAGACACACAGATGACTTGGACAGTCTGAGCATGTCTCCAAATGGCTAAAGGAGATAGAAAATGGCTGAAGAGGATAGAGGATGGCCAGATGATACAGAGTGACTGTGCAGTCATGGAAGTCTGGGGTCCCTGGCAACCAAGCTCAGGGTTAGGCAAGGCCCATAGAAGCTTCAGTCAGTAGCAGAGATCATCCCAAAGTGGTAATCTGTGGTACATATAGCCAATTCAGTTTGCAGGAGGAGAGAGCACATTATAAGCAGGAGCCCTGCATGCAGCATGATTTGCAGGGGACTTCTATGGAATTTCTCCATGACTCAGGAGGGAGTTCAGAGTGGTGGGCCTTCTATGATCCTGTTTTGGACTACTGTTCCAGGTTTATGTGACCAGGGAAACATAGATTATAAAGATAGGAAAGATTCCTCCCCATTAGGTGAATTCCAATTGGGCGAAAGTGCATACAGGAACATTTAGGGAGAAAACACTCTGAGAAAGCTCTGCAGAGCCCTAAGGCCACTCTACCCCTGGCCTGCTTAGGGACAGAGCAAAGCACAGGAGGAAGTGACTGCCCAGCTGGCTGGATGCTCTTTCCTGAAAGCTGAACCAGTTTTCTCCTCACCCAACACAAAGCTAGCCTTGAGAATTTGGTGAACTTGATAGTCTTAATCATCTAGCTACCATCCATGACTAACTGGGAACTGGTTTGA